GTGTGTTATAAATGACACGTTCGGTTTTGAATGTGACGTGCTTCCAACTTATTCATAGGACAAGCAACCCCGTTACAATCACGACCAAAAATAATTATAATCGAAACATTTATCGGTCTCCGGGACCCAAGGACTAATTTTTCTGTGTGAGACGCAAAGACTGTTCCTGTGCATAAAGTTTACCGAGAATTTGTAATATGATAGTTTCCTACTAAACTCTGTATGCAACGTGTTTAAGGCGTGGACGTATTTAGCGTAAACATTGTCTCCTTTGAGGGCACGTTCCCAATAAGGGAAATTATCTAGATAGATTGTCTTGATAGATGATCTAGCTTGGTTATTTGTTCCTTGTATTTCATTAGCGTTTTACATTTATATTAGTGTTTTTCCTAGGTGGATTATTTGCTTTTATTTATATTTCTTCATTTATTTTTCTTTGTGAATAATATTGTTTCTGTTTTTACCTGTATATTTAATATTGTACATGTATATTTTTAATTAAACTGTTTGTTTAATATTTTTCATTATTATTTTATTATTACTATTGTATGTATTATCAGTGTTTGACTGTTATTGGCTTCTTGCTGTTGGCAATCACTTAAATAAATGAAATGAATTGAATTTTCATTCAGAAATGAACCACCGTTAACCGCTGGTGTGACTTTCCACACTGTCGCTAGATGATTCTCAAGCTTCTATTAGCAACTTCGTATCGCCTTCTGTTCAATATACACCAGTTTAGACAGCCGAAACGTGAAGCTGGCCATTCACTAACATTTAGTTACGACTTTATGGCGAGATGTTCAATTAAGCGAGGGAATTATTGTTGTATTGTAGTTGGTCCAACACACATTCATTGCATACGTATAAGGATTCGTTAGTTTGTTGGGATGAGATAGTTTACTAATCCTTGAAAGACACCTTTTTGGAAATATTTTAAATCAAAATCCAAACCAGGGATGAGGCAGAATCCCCTAACAGCAAATTATCGCGTAAAATGCTAACCTAACCAACACTTTTCTGTTGTGACGATATTAACAAAACAAAGATTTTATATTGCTGACAATTTTCATAATTTTGCAACATGAAACGAAGAAAATGTATATCTTTTTTAGTTTTTTTTATTTAATGTAAATCAGTAAATTGTATAATACGAACGAAAGCAAGGTACACAGAAAGAAACAAGGACGGAGTACAAATAATCTAGATGAAAGCGTTTAAAGAAATCTGATATATGTTACAGAGAGTACCAAAAGATACGAGCCTGAAATTTTGTGTCTGTCGTGGTTTATGCTAAAAATAAATTCTGTGTCAGATCACACACAGAGAAAACCAGTTGCATGAAATAAGTTGAATGTATTCAGTTTCCTGAAAACAGATGTTTGCTCTTCAACGCACAGGGGAAACGTCTGTACCAATATCTGTCATGTCTTCGGGAAAAGATAAGGTTTTATTCCTCCAGAGATGCCTCGAATATCTGCTCAAGATTATGCACAAATCAAATTTATCTTCTTAACTATTAATGTAAAATATTTACAGACCTGCTTACTCGGCTGTTACTTACACATACGGTAATTTAATCAGACTTACAGTACTTAGATTATATCCACAAATATTTTATTTTATAATCCTTAGGCTGGGGATAAATAGAAAATAATTTAATTATGTGTCTTTTTCGCCTGAGTTTTCCCTCTTGCCCACATAGTGATGAAGTACGTTGAAGGGAAAAGCGTTTTACATTATACGAGAAGAAATATTGAAGAAATAGGAAACTGCTTAAATTCGTATCTCACGTGTTTCTGGCAAAATACGAATGGGCACTGCTAATAGCATGCATGTATGTATGTATGTATGTAATTAGAAGCTGGGGAACGTAAAATTGTGTGTACTTCATCTAATGAGAGCTGGCTGTAAGAACCATAAGATTGGGTGACTGTACTTGTGTCTTATCCTACGTGGTTCGGCGCGCTCTCCCTAAGTGACAGAACAGCAGTGCACTTTCTGCGGACATTTTTTGATAACTTTTGTTTTCACCTAACCGCATTACTAGTGTATGACAAAATGCTTTTAGTGCGCGGGTTAGAGTACCATTTCTGGTCAAACGTAAGACACCAGGTATTTCAATTGAATAAAAATTTCCTTGGATATTATCCATCGTCTAGTAAATATAAAACGTAAAACGACGTTTCGGAGATGGGACCCTATCTCCGTCTTCAGGTTCATACACAGTTGGGCCCACTAGATAGAGCTAATCCCTATCTCCGGAGATAAAAAAACGTAAAAAACGATGTTTCCGAAACGTCATTTTTTACTTTTTTTACGTTTTATATTTACTAGACGATGGATAATATCCAAGTAAATTTGTATTCAATTGACTCTTCACCATCGTCAAGAAGTTTTAGATTTGATATACCAGGTATTTCAGTCTATGTGTCTTATTCGCTTCATACATTAACATTTGTGTAATGTTCATTTATAGCCATGAAGGAAGGAGAAAACGAATAAAGATGGGCGAAGAAGGGAGAAGCCGGAGATGTCGAAGGAAGAGAGCGTGATGAAGGAATAGGAGAAGGCAAATAGACAAAGAGAGTTGGAGAAGGAAACAAAAATGGAGTCGATGAAGAATGCACTTTCAAGTGTGGTCTTGCTTTCATAACTCATGAACTGTCTTTTATTCTTGAATATTTCAGTATGAAATGGTTAGTGCGTAACTGAAGGATGTGAAGATGTGGGATTTTATTGGCGATGCAAACATTAACGTTGAAACAGCTTTAAATGTCGAAGAGGTACGCAGTATGCCGCTTATTAACACATGTAATGGTGTAAGAACCGCTGGAATTACTCCACTTTTCGATTTTCTGACACTTGTAACACTGTCAAGTCAGCTTTTGCACATTCTATACGGTCAAAAGTCCGTACAATCCCGTAGACCGGCGTATTTATCTCTTTTGTATTTTATAGCGACACGTTTAGCATTCAACGAGCGAAAGAATGGCCTCTGTTTCTAATGATTCCAGTTACTTAAAAGTCTAAAATTAGAATACGTATACTTTTTGTCACGTGTTTAAAGCTTGGCTACTACAAGATACGTGAAGTCAAGGTCTATCTAGAAACCTGAAATTCAACAGTGTCTACAAAAAACTCCAGACCTTGAATAAATAAAAACACGGTCAGCCAGCTGACACGATTCATTAAGGAAATTAAGTTCTAAAGGAGATGTAAAATTCTAGCAGCTTTATATAGGCCAAGTAAATATCACATCCAGACATCTTAAAAGTGGTTTCACTCTTTATTTATTACGATATAAAACGTAATATTTTCTGACGACCTAATTGACGAACTAGAATTAATTAAAGATTTTTTCTAATGGAATCTTTGTAAAGTTCCAACTTTGAAACCTGATCATTCGTAAAAGAAGAGTGATTATTAATGTAGTAGGCGCTGTAGATGCATTTATAAATATTTATTAAGAGTTTACAAAAATGTGCAGTGTAAGAAATAAGCAGTCCAATTCCTTCAAAAATGTTTATTTTAAGGATAATTCGTATTCTTCAACAGGAATTTTTATAAAGCACTGTTTTATTTATGAGCGCATTGCTTATAAATACAGTTCAGTAGTGTATTTGTTAAAACCGCTTGAAATTCGGTTTCAGTATATCACCTGGTACGTAAAGGAAGTGAAGAACAGTAAGAATAAATAAACAACATACTAATTATGAACTTAGAGGAGATAGAATTGTTTCCTTAAAGCTCGTAATGCAGCGACAGGGTCTATCTGTGTCAGGTTATTTGTCGTAAAAACAATATAAGGTCGGCTGTGATACCTTTAACAGGATTCGCAAGGCGACTGCAGCTTGCAAAACTGGACGCAGTTCACAAGAATTATAACTTTTCGTTTTATTGTAGACATTTTTTTTTAAATATTTGTAATTTCGAGTTGAGAGATTTAAAATTTTTGCGAACAGATTCTTACGATTAACACTTTGCTTTGATGGTGATAGTTTAGGTGGGGTTGTGTATGAGTAGGTGTTTAGAAAAAAGGGATTCGTGGAAGGATGTGAATATTATAAGCGGAATTCAGAGACAAATAATCTCACGAACTGATTGAACTTTCTCCATTTATATTCTGCGTAGTTCGTGTTATTTTCATTACCGCAGACTGCGATTAGGGAACATTGTTTGCGGACCTGTCGCTTCATAAAAGTGTTTTCTACTCCCTTCCTTCTTGTATCGATTAGAACTGTACCAAGTACATAAACTTTCTTTCCCACTCCGCACACTGGACTTATAAACATTATTATTGCTCTTAAGTCCATGGATATCCATGCTCTACATTGCAGTTCATCGAGTGGTCACGTTTCGGAAACGTTTTCAATTCTAGCCACAGTCTGGCTTCAGGCTACTTCGTGACGCGTCGTAAGGCGGCCGGACGTTTACGTCTACCGCTTAAATAACGGAACATAATTTGACAAGGCCATATAACAGTCCCTTAAAAATATTTGTCACGAGTAAGGCAATTAATGTTGGGCATAAAATTTCTTTCTGTCAACAGCTGAACAACTTAAAAACTGTGTGTACATAGTAGGCATGTGACAGTCTTCTCATAAACACGTTTGGTGATTAACAGAATGCATTTTTATATATTAGGAAGGACATGTATTCATAAAATTTACATTATTTATTATTGTAATGCGTTTCTTGTGCATATGGTAACCTTTATTTAATTATAAATGATTATGGGTCTTAATTTACTTTAACGTGAGATCAGAACATTTTTGATCGAGCGGTCAGAGAACTTACGACATAATTTATAACATCATAACTTATCCTATATACAGTTGGTTTTAATTTCATAGAAACAAAAGGGTTATTTTAATTGTTATAATTATTATAGTTACTGGTGTGTGAGAGAGTAAAATTTGTGTGCTCTCGGAGTTATAAATTATTAATGTGCTTGTTTATACACAGTACAGTCACTTTGTTCATAAAATCGAGGTTATATCCGTCCCTTCATTGCTCTGAATATTTTATTTTCCTCAGTTTCCGTAAATATAGAAATCTATCGGTATTGATGAATTCAGACACTGGAGTTTCTCGTGTCAGTCCAAAAAGGATCTAATTTCAATGCTTCGTCATCTGTAACACGCCATGAAATTTATAACAAAAACACGGGATTCAGAAATAACGAAAATGAAAGTTCAGAAGGCTTACTTAAACAAATATAAAATGCTAATCTTCCATTTTATTTGGCGTCTAGTGGTAACAGACATCTACATAAAATAGCTTCTAAGCGTACATTATTACTCAACAAAACATAAAACGTCACTTTCTTTTTTTTGTGTACTTCAAGAATCAGCTTTAATAATCATTCCTCGACAATTCGACAGTCGTAGTTGCACTCGATGTCACATTTTCCAAGCAAAGGGTTAGAACAAAGGATATGTACTTCGTAATGCCTATAATTGCGTGTTTATACAACCTGCATCACTATCGTACTGGAGAGTGCTGTATCCTGAAGAAATGATTCTTGGAATGTAAAAGTTATCGAAGCCTTGGCAAGAAGGCAGGAGTAATTCCAAAACGCTTGCACTGTTTACAGAAATATGTGTGTTTGGAAATGAATTATTTGGCCTTCGTCGAGTTGCTCTCATTTTAGAGACTTGATAGATTAAACTAAGATGATAGAGTTGCGTCATATTGTGAAAATATATATTTAATTAATTAATCTTGTCCGTCTAATCATAATTTAAAATATAAAATTAAATTAATTAATTAACATCATGTTCCAAATGTAAATCGAATGTTTCGATAAGCTGCATCACATGGTACTTTAACTATCTTAATTTTAAATTTTAAATTGTGATTAGACGGACAAGATTAATTAATTAAAGATTAAACTAATTTAAAAGTCAAAAATATGGAATGGAAATCTGATGTATCACATACCAATTTTTTTAAATTATCATTAGTTTCTTGAGCTACATATAAATGTCTTGTTTATAAAAAAAAAAAAGAGATACGAAAGCAAATTAACCATAGAACATTTTGTTTGGATCGCATTGCCAAACATAATGGATACTCTTTAGTAGTTTTGGAGACAAGAACATGGACAGAACCATACAAAGTCCTCTTTATACGCTCATTGTCCGTGCTTCGTGCAAATAACACACGTAAGTAATATTTTGATCCTAAAGCTAAAAATTCTTATGACGTCAAAAGACAGTCTCCCTTCACTTCTCCACGACGAAATCGACCGTACAAATTGGAAAGCCTTGAGTTGTTTTTAAACTTTGCATCACACGTAGGTAACAAATAATAATATAGTAAAGGTATAAACTGTTGTTTAACCAAAAATATTCTCCTTAAACGTGTTAGTGGAGAAATACGTTTCTTACGCGCCGTGGGTTACTGTTAATGACTATACTACTGCTGTTTCAGCTATGTTGCTTATCTGGTTATGATGATGTTGCTGTTGCTACTAATTTCTAATTTTGCGTCTTCTAATACCTTCTTCAGTTCTTCCTCGTCAAATTCATATCCTAGCTGCTCCATTTCTGCAATAAAATAAATTAATATTTATAGGAAGTTGGCGCGTGTAACCTTGTAATAGGAATCCGGCGTGTGTCTAGTGACCTTCAACAAAGTTGATGCTGTTGTCGATTAGCTTTCTGGAGAATATTTTGTTAAGCCTTGCTAAAAATCCTACATGTATTATCCGCTTTAACAATCTGTAACCCTTACTTTTCCCGACACAATATGTTCGTGGTTTCAAATGACTTTCGGAATAAACATAGATTATTTCCCAAATCAGTATCAAACATTTTATCTTCGAAATGGAAATGTGTTGTGTTTTCTTTGCGGTAGGAACTGTATCTTTAAATGTTATTCCTATGAGCTTCGGTCATTTACGTATCAGATTTTGATTTCTTATGCCCCTTACTGTTTCAGTTTACTCGTTTAATGAAAATTTTTGAGAGCATAGACCCACTTTATGAAATGTCTATTGAATTCCACTTGTCGCATTATGGACTTTATCAGCATTTGTTGACTGCTGACACAATGCAACTTACAAGAACTTGGTATGTGGTTCGCGATACTCTGAACGGAAGTTGGTGGCGTGTGAAGGCTATCTGACGCTAAACAGGAAGTTCAGTTGTGTGTGCCGAAGTCGTGTGTGTGTGTGTGTGTGTGTGTGTTAAGAGCGTATTCTCCGGTGTTAACGTAGCGAAAGAGTGGATTTACCAGGCTTCGCCACAGTGTAGTGGTTAGTATCACAGATTGTTATTCTAAATATCTCAGGTTTAAATCCTACTCCGGAAACAGACTACTACATTTCTTATAGGTGATATTTCAGGTTCTCGAGAGAATCAAAATGGTTATGTTCTGGGATTTTTCTTCGGTAAATATTGACCTGGTTACTGACTCGTTGTCATGATGACAAGAGAGAGTAAGCACATCTCAAATGTCTGTCAATATCTACCAGACTACACGTCGGAGAATCTTCGAAGATATCCATCTCAGACATTTTATCGTCTTCAGTTTAGTAATCCCGTATTAATCTTAAGAGTTGTTCGAAGTAAAAGTGGCTATGAGAAATCTGTTATGAACGTTGGAAGGTCTAAGACCTGTTTTTCGAGAGTATTTTCTTCTGTCGCATTCTCCTCGTTGCAATTTTTCGTAACTCTACAGCAGACTGCCACACATCTATAATGTGGCTCCCCCCGGTCATATTGCATAAGCCTGACCGCACTTCTGAGCGTGTTACTTCAGCTTAAAAAAATTTGTAATTTTTTTTTTTTTACTCGAATTTCCCCCCTTCTCTTTCAGTCTACTGCAAACTTACTCTGTCATCACAAAGATCTTGACAGGGATGGGCTTTCCGACTATTAGCATGCTGTTGTAAGTCGATTTACGCCCCTCGATAATTATTAGTTACTAGGAGGGGCGTACTGCGTGTAACCGATCACTTCACTGGCGCTGTTCCAATTAAAACCAATAGCCTTCATTGGCCCCGATCACTATTACGAAAATAATTCATTCTATGGGAAGGTTTTCTTTGAAAGGCTGAGTAGTGTCGTTTGGCTATTCAAGAATTCCCCGTCTTTTATAAATTACAAAGTTCATTACCGGTTTTACAAAAGCCTACTACTGTACTTAGGTTAAGCCGGTCTAATTCAGTCCACGCAGTTTCTCCCCGTGTCATTTAAGGTCCTTTTTAATATTATCCACCCTACGCCGTAAACTAATTAGCGCTTATAAAATTACTGAACAAAATAGAAACATGGGTAAGCAGACAGACAGACAGACAGACGGGTGGAAACTTAAATATGCTAATAAAGATTCATCTCTACATTTATGTGTAAATGGACCTTCCTCTTATGGTACTTTTTTGTATTATATGAGAATCGTATTGCGCTTGTAACATTGTACAAACAGACAATATGTATTTTGATTTTTTTTAAAAAGAAGAAGAAGAAGGAACCTCTTTTTGACCGAGCACCAAGGCTGTAAGATCGGAAACGTCGAATGTAAGCAGAATGTTCTTACCCTTAAGAATAGCTTTGTTGTTCACGAAACTGTCTACCCAATCCGTGTAGCTGTACTCAGGACGCATTCCGCCGTACCTCTTGGGTAGAAACTTGGGATCTATGTGAGAGTGTAAGGACTCCAGGTCGTCTCCATGGAAATAAATCTGAAACATGCGTAGTAGTGCGTGTACTTTATTAGTTTCGTGCTAACACACTTTATTCGGTGAAGATATATGACGGCCGTGCTGCTATGGCTACGAAACTTAGCGACCGACGCAGTGATCGCGCATAGTCGAAACGTCGTGCTGTGCCCACCAGCACATCCGTATAGATACATGTAAGTTTAAAACAAAGACCAGCTGTATCAATCATCTCATCAGACGGGTTTTAATCTGAACCGAGGCGGCTGTATTCACCAGGAGACTTCATTCCATTTAAAACTTCAGAATTTATATAGGCCTATACGCATTTTCAGTAATGGATACGATGAATTACCACAAATGTAAATGAACTGATCGCTTAACATGAGATGTATGTCACTAGGAATGGTGAAGTGTTGTATTTCTTTACGATACGGACTGTACTCTAAAATATTATTTGGACGAACCTTGGTTTCAAAGAGTTTTTTTTGATTCTGAGTAAAATACAGAATGTCCCAAGAATATGTACACACGCATTAAAAAAATTAAATAAAGACATTTTAATCGTTTAAACCATTAAAAACGTCAGCATTGTCATTCACTTTAAGTGTTCAAAACGGTCACCGTTAGCTTCGTGGCACAGCTGATCAACAGCAACGTTAACATTCCTTATAATCCAAATACATATTTTTGGAACACCCTGTGTATTGATTATGTATGCGGTACCTTTTCTCTCATCCTGTCGTCCAGTAGTGGTTTGAAGATTGCGAAAATTATGTCAAAGATCCATGACTCGTTGAGAAAGTGAATTGCTTGTGTCCTTATTGGGAAACTAGTCTGAAAAACAAAAGGTTTATTATCGTGTAACCATATTCTCTGTTGCCATCATTTATGAGCTTTAACTTACAAACGAACCTTCTCTTAACCATACACTGTTATATAAAAAACTTATTTTTAACTTACGTTTTCGTCAGAATCTTTTTGTCCTAATTGCTTCATAAATCGTACAGTGGATTAAAATTAATGAAGGGTATACCGTTTAAAACGCAGACAAATAACACGTATCACGGAACAGAAATACTTCTTAAACCTCAGTCGTGACAGAGTCAAGATCACGCTTGTTGCTAGGCCGCCACTCCAGTTACTCAAAACTGCGAAGTGACAATGTGGTTTGTTGACGATCAGAACGTGTTTTCATTCGCAAGAATTACTTCGCATAGAAATCGTTTGCTACTCTTCGTGAAGCATTTGGCAACACAATTAAGGGACACAGATGCATTGTAATCATTAGTTGTCTAGTTATGTAGAACCACTAAACCAACAGGATTTCCAGGTGATCCGCCGAACTAATGTCCATAAGGTACGAAGGCATCTGAGAAAAACATCAATATTCTTTACTACTTCTATTAGAACACACAGAAATAGAAGATAAAACCAGGAATGTTTTAAATTTCCACTCTCATTTTTAACTTAAAAATCCTTTCAACGAGAAGCCAGTGTAAAACCTGGAAAATGAGTTATAATCTGTGGTGATGGCTGCACGATACAGAGTTTTATTTGAAAATCCGATAGTTGTTAAACTTTTGTGGAATACTAGGTCCAAATATTCCCCTTAGCTCTTTGTTCTCGCGTCCCCCTCCGGTGTAATGATAGACAATGGGTATAATTCTTTACATGTGAAGATAAAGAATTAGTGATTGAAATGAAGGAAACAAAAAGTGCGAGAGGAAGAAAAGGGAAAGAACTGCCCTACATCTCCTGTGCATATTTACTTATTTTCGCACTCAAAAGCCAAAAAGGCAGAAATGATGTGAAGTAATTGAAGCAGCAGACGAGACCTCCGTGCGTTTAATCTCGTACGAAAAACCAGTCTCGTGGCCATTTTGTTCTTCTTTAGACGTTAGACCTTGCAAGTGTGTGGAAAGTTATGTAAGACTCGGTGTGCATTCGGATACCGTCCATAACAGGTTATGATAATGTGGCCTGTCTCACGCATTATGCTGCAACTCGCGACTGGAAAGTTGTTTGGCGCTGAATCACATGCTATAAAGAAGACTGACCATGACAGACTTTTTTTTTAAGCGTAATTAAGTTTCGTTTGTGACACTGCTTCAACAACTACGCACAATACCTTATTATACATTTCTAAAATTATTTTTCATCTTCCACGGATTAGATCCTCCGGTCTGTTTTGATTCGTAATTGAATTGGAGCTTTGAATCCTGCAGACGTTCAGTAAGACTCCTTGAATCAGATGCAATACAGAATATGCGGAAATTCAATCATGTTTTAGTTGGATTTTAACCCTCGAATATTAAGTTTGATCCTTCTAACATAACACTAACCTTAGACCGCTTGATCATATAAATTCTAAAAGCGATCTAAGATTTGAGGTTCTCGTGGAGGGTAAAGACATCTATTGTGGCCTTCTGGGCTGTGACTCCAAGCAGTCTTAATTTTTTAATATGGAGGCGGTACGTTCCTCCCGAATGTTGGAAACCACCCACAAGACTTACACTTGTGGCATCACAACCCAGAAGACCACAATCGACTTCTAAAACTGAATTCTGTAAATTTTAAAAAGACGGTCGAAGATTAGCTGCAGTCTAAGAAGCGTGCCATTTCACATACTGGCACTCCGTGTTCGCATCTCGAAACCAGAGGTTCAGTACTGTGCTCATTAGAACCCGCCACCGGTCCGTGTCGTGAGCCAGATTAATCCAATCCATACACTTTTTCCCTATATCCCTTGTTTCATTTGAATATCAAAAGAAACCAGAATGTTACGAAATTTTGTAAGCAATAAATGTACTCAGTTTATAAAATATACCCATGCTTAACCATATTTCTGATGGATAATTTAAGTAATGAGGAATTTCGTGGGGGGAGGGGCTGTTGGAAAATGCCCATTTAAAAGATCAACAAGGAGATGGAGGTAAAATTTAGATGAATTTAATTGGAGAATGGTTCTAAAGGTAGGAGTTAGATGTGGAAGGTCCAGTAGCGTGTCCTGTCATGGGCTTTGTGTCTGTATTGTTCAGACTTTCGGTTCTGTTTGCATAATTAATATGAAGTACAGCCAGGTCAATAAATTCCTGGGTGACCTTATGGTAAAGCATATTACTTCACTCTTGAATTAAACACAATAAAACTTCCACAACACGTAGCAGCAAGACTTCGTAGCCAGAATAAAACTGACCTAGTAATGACATAGAACTTCAGAACCTGTCTGTATTCATGCTCGTCTAAAACCGGCACGACACTTTCACTTTTAAGCTGGCATTTGGCTAGATCTCTTGCATTCCGAGTAATGACGTGGGAACTGCATCCGCCCTGTGAAGCAACACAGTAGTAGAATTTCTCTCCCTTTAGCCCTTAATCAGGATCCACGCAGCTATTGTAAGCCGCCATTAAGTAATTACTGCTCAGATAGTCATTTTGCTTTCATAAATAATTGCTACCAGTAGATTTCTTTTTCAGCTGATTTTTGTTATATTCAGTAGTCTGATGGGAATGGAATCAGACACCGAAACGTTGTGTGGATTATATTTATTTTATTTATTTAGTGTTCTGTCTGATGACAGGTCCATATGAACAGGATCCTTCCATCCTTTTCTCTGACTGGGACCTGTTCATATACGTTCTTGGCAGATGATCCAGAAGTGGTTTGCCATTGCCTTCTTCTGTGTGTGAATGGAGTAATTGTTGGGATGCCACGGAGAAACCGGGGAAGCCCCCGGAGGAAAACTCCGTGTTGCCTAGACCACTGCCTTGCCCAACACAAGTTATAAATTCGGGCACCGCCGGGAATCGAACCCGAGACCCCAGGATTACAAGGCCAGCGTTCTAACAAACTTACCACGCAGTATGTCAGACATTATTGTCGTGTAATTTATTATGTATTTTCACGATAGTTTTTTTTTCCCTGAGATGGGCTGAAAGGGAATTCGCCAGATTCTACGTTATGATATAACTTTTCTGTATTGAAGATGATCTAGGTCTGAAGTTACCAGATTATTCATATAAAAACACGTCCGTTTACGAGGTGTAGCAAATTACAGAACTTCGGTGGATGAATAATTCGTTCAGTTGATGTTTCTTAAAGTTGCAACGAGGGTAATGACATTGCTACAAATCACTCAGTACTCCTGCTTTATATTCCGAATGTCCCGGGTTCAAATCTTGCCTTCGAGGTTTGTCGTAGGTTTCTTCAGCCCCACCCTACAAATTCTGGGATTTTACTCTAAAGTAGGCCACGACCGCTTCCTTCCACAAACTTTCCAATCATAATTTACTATGATCCACTCATTCGACGTTATATAGTCTGAGATTCTGTATGAATCATTAAATAGATGATGAATAAATAATGCATTTCTTTAACAAAGTCTTGCAACAAACATTACGTAATTTGTTTGACTCTTGACGTGTTCAGAGAGCGAGATGTGAGAATGTGGACTGAATTAAACTTACCACCATCAACTCGACCGTCCTTCTAGCGACGCTAGGAGTGACGTTCCATGCGTGCTGCAGTGATATGCCTCGTAAGTCAAAGATGCAAATTCCTCCAAGAATCTGAGCCCTCTGCTCTAACACTGCCAGTTCCAGAACAAGTACAGTCGCCTTGAAAAGCTCATCGATAGAGTAGCTGCTCGGATTCCAGTTGCCTGACATCACACAGGAAATATAAACAACAGAAATAAGTTATAAAGACGTATTTATATTAGATTTGAGGTAACATAACCTGGGACACTGTTTTGCAGAATCTGTTTTGTAGTACTGGATAAGTCTGCACGCAATCCGAGGAAGTCGGTACTGATTTTGAATTTCGGTCTTCGGTTTGCATATTTTTGTATGTATTTATAAACGTATGCGCATCAGTAGCATAGAGTACTAGGCTTCGAATCTCAGTAGCCGTCACCATTCTGCATGATTCATGGCCATAGCAGCACGAACAGCGGAACCCAGGCGAGTGAAGACAACTCAGAACTCGCAGCACAGCGACGCTGTCATGGTGATTTAGAGCTGCGCGGTAAGTCCTTCCGTGGCCTTGAAGCATGTGGTTTGGTGACTTTTACAGTGGTAAATAAATAAAATTTATTTAATGTATCCTCATCATTTAATATGGTTTGTGTTCGATAGTATTTTCTCTCATTACTATATTATTCCATTTTTAAATATTCGAATAGTCATAGTGCCTGTGTGCATCGAATGTTGTGAGATAAACACCTGACTTATTCTTCGTCCTAGGTAGAAGTTCCGTCATTTCCTGAGAGAGGAAACAAGATGGATAGCTTAAAGGAGCCGAATTACCATGTAGAATTATACGTTCTGTGTTATGACCCCAACGACATCATAAAAAGAAATCGTAATAGTAACGTCTAACCTAAAATGTACTCTGGAGCAACTTTCTCGGGTCATGTCCGATTGGCCCCGTTATCTCTGAACGAGAATGAAACTACTCATAAAATTAATGCATTCCATGACGACCAGCGAACAGGTTGAGTTCCGGTAACGCTCCTGAGCTATCGAAATATGTTTGCGAGCATACACATTCTTGTTATGTTATATTGTCTTAACTCTTAACATCAAAGAATAAGATGTGAACATATTTCATGGGAATGCCGTGGTTAATGTTATAAATTCAACAATTCGTATCTACACTAATAATATGAAGAGTTCATTATATTTATGTATTTGTGTAGATATGAAAGGAAAGCAGGTGTGTTTTCTTTTCGAGTTTTCTATGTAGCTAACCCTTGACCCTTTTTTGTGAAAGCTGTTGGGTTTATAATAGTAGTTAATCTTCAAGTTCCTTAAAAGAGGTTTGGCACATAGATTATTTTGACTGATTATATGACTCCAGCCCAGTTCCAGGCTGATGAATTGACATCTTCCGTACCGTCCAACCGAGTTTGACCTGAATTCGGGATGTCCCCACTTCGAATGATGGCCAGTACACATATTTCTCTAACTGAATTATTTAATGGTTTTCTCCGTTTTTAATAATATATGAAGATATTTTTTTAAATGCCGCATTCTAATTTGACACTAAAGTACACTTACAATTGGTAAAGTGCTGTAAAATATTGTCGTATACTTTTACAGGGGCCGCTGAGCATTTATCTCGTCAGCAAATGTTGAGTCGACTCTCGCAACCTTTACTCTCAGAAGGTAGTTGTTATCATTTTGCTGATAGCTGTGTACCGATCAGGTCCAATGTTGAAAGTACTAGCTGCGTAGTTAATCGTATATCTTTTAATCCGAAAAGTCGTAAATGTTTTGTGTATCTACGTATAAACTTTGAATCGAATTTATGTGGTTTGTTTTATTGAAATAAACCACGTTCTTGGTATAAAAAATCTAGGAGTGTTAAACCGAGTTAAGAATTATTTTTAATTCATTACATCTCCGCTCCAAGTCACAACGAAAGCAGGCGGCTTTGCATCACTGTTCATAAATACCAGTGCTTCGTAGACAGTCATTTTCAAAAGTGAAATATTAAGTACAAATAAGACTGAGGGATGGGCTATCGGATAAATATTTACGAAGTTCTCCCCCTGTTATATGAAAGGAGCCATTTGTAAAACAGAAAAACTTTCATGTTTTTGAGTAGGTAAAACTGCCCTACTCGTGATTTTTATGTTAAATTTATTAAATCTAATCATATTATAACAGCAATTTAAACAACTGAACGCCTGTACAGAAATTTTAAACTGGCGCGCAATGAGTTTCATTACTTTGGTGCGTCTCGTCTTATTTTTACTGTTTAAGTGGGCGCAAAAGTAAACTTAATTTCAAGGTCTCTAAAAACTACGTTACCTGCGTAAGTTCTTCGTCTGTCTTAAAAAATTAAAGAAGAATGTAAAGGTTAACATTTTAATGAGCAGAGAGCAGAGTTTCCAAACCACCATTTCGCCATCGAATCTGGGTCTCAATGCAGTGTCTATAAATTACACAATTGTATCTTTCTAACAGAAGGTGAACAACTCCCGGGCTACAAGCCGCGTCAGGTGGCTGAATGATGAATAAACCATATCCTCTACCAACGTTTCGAGAGTCATCTGTGCTGTCATCCTCAGGGCAGCTATGTAACAAAACTGGTCCTCTGTAGGGCGTTCGCCGATGGCACTCCAATAAATAACGTTATTAACATTCCTAACATATTGGTTCTGGTTTAAAAGATGAACTTATATAAATTAACTACCATATGTGACACGTGCGGTTATCACAGTAAATGCGAATTTTAAGCCCATACAGCCTTGGACCTCGCGAACACTGGAATCGTGGGTCTGAATCCCGGTCGAGATGTCCTCATTTTAATGTTCTATGCTGTCCTGTGTAAGTATATGTTTTGCGATGGGCCGATCCCCCGTATAGAGAGTCCTACCTAACATTTTAACAGTTTAATATTTTTTATTATTTTGAACTGGAACATTTCATAGGGCCTAATCAGTAAATACTGTAACAGAATAATAATAAATGCGCCCCATTGATGCTCAAATTAATCGTCATACTTGTAACAAAATTGTTTTTTGCTGTGAGGTGTGGAGGACCCCCCAGAGCTCAGAAAATGTAACATTGTTTACTTACCTAATCTGTATATCATGATTCTCCGCCCAGTTTGTTCGCGATATGGAAGGACAGACAGCACATCGTCGTCGCCTATAAATCTCATATTCAGGGGTTCTACACCCTTGTGCAACTCTGGATTGTTCTCTTTGAATGTGTAGTAGTTGACCATCTAAAAATATAAACATTTCACTACGTAAGATTTGAGGTTTTCACGGCGGTGAGTATGAAGATAGAGGTCATACTGCCTCCGTCATCAGGGCGATATTCTGAAACGTTGGTTAACATCGACAAGACTACACAGCGCAACAACCCAGAAGATGGAAATTTTCAAAAACACCGCCTCGGCTGCTTTGCATAATGCTTAGATTCATACAGAACTGTTCTGCTACATGTGTTTTGTGGATGTAAAATAGTATTTTATTCTGGGGAAATGACTCTTATTTGAAAACAGGTGATCAGCAAAATAGTTCGGCATGAGAAGGAAGAAGTTAGTAATTACGTATGAAACTTAGGGCACTGGTTAATAAAACAATTCGTGAAGAAAAAGTTTAACTTATTATTTTTCGAATACTGAAATGTAAGACGTTATGATGGATGTTAATTGTATGTAATTAGTATGAGGAAGGCACACAGAGCTTTCGTGGGGAAATTCCTTGAAAAAATGCGAATTAAAATAGGTGAAGGAAATGGAAGGATAATATTAACATGCATCTTTTCTAATTAATTTTTGAGGACGACGGATGAAACTGGTTCAGGACCGTGTCCAGAAGTGGGATTTCATATTATAAATGTTGAATATTCTTGTTATTCAACGGCGTCAGCCTTCTAGCGTGTAAGTAAGTACCAACGTTTAGGAGGAACATACTGCGTCCATCTTCAATCCTGACGTACCTCAACGAATTCTTAATCGCGGCTCCAGTTTTAGGTGTATGGTCACTATGGTCACTTTCGCCCCCACGACCCTTGACCTCGGAATAAATACACTCCCCTGCATCTACTTGATAAAGGCCGGATGTTGCCAGAGTAGGTGTGAATGTGATGGCGAAGAGAGAGATTTCTGCCCTTTCCGGGTTTCAAACTTAGTGTTCCAGTTTGTAGCCTCTCACTTCAATGACTGAGCTACCTAGATACAGGTGAAACTGCATCTGAGATCGCTATTTAAGATTTTGAAGTTTTTCGTACAAATGAAAACTAATACATGTTTAAGAATAAATTTTTAGTTGTGTGCAATTTGTAAGTATGAAATTACATTAAACCCATAGAAGTATGTATGACAATTTTAAGTCACTATTCATTTAATTTTGTTTAAATGTCGTAAATTCAATAATTATAATTGTTAATAATTAATTAGTAATTAAGAGGTGGTAGTAATTAAAGTGGCGCTTCTCAGTAATGCTCTGAACGTGTTTTGTCTCGCAGACTATTAGCCTATTTCCTGTCACATGTTAACACATGAGAGGGATTCATAAAATCACTTAACTATTTTGTTAGTCTTCAAGGTTAATGGCTGCACATTTGGTAGGTGATTGTGTTTTGTGTTTCCGGTGCAAAAGGAAGTGAGTCAGAGTTGCTCAGCGTACGTGTTAGGCACGAGTAGCGGTCTTTCGAGACGGTCTACCGTGGTTTTCTTCAGTCAGTCGAAATCCGAAATGTTTATCTGCCATCGTGCTCACCGCCTTGAGAACCTCACACTACAATACTGCCCGTCAAAAATGAAAGAATCTAAAATATTGCTTAAACACATTCTTATGGAAAAGCATACCAAAGGAACATTTTAAAATTAAATTCATTACTTTTATTTGCTTCATGTAAAACTTATTATAACGGGTCAACGCAGGAATCACGGAGGATTGTGTGAGCATTGCATGTAGCACGCATTAGGCAGATGAGAAATTAATACAAAACTGTTACAAATCATGAAAGGAAAACTGAACTGGATTGGCCGAAATTAGACGTCAGTACGTCGTCGTAATCGAACAGAACATCTGAACTCCCGCCGGCTGGTCAGTTGAAAATTAGGGTCCCCAAACCTGTAGTAATTTCATAATGCATGATAGATCATTTTGGTGACAGCGCCTTGTGTGGGCCTAATTCCATAGACAGGGTTCTTGATTTCTTACAGGCAACGTACCACGTTATTTAACTTCGCACGATTGTGCTCCTACTGTTCAATAGGTACATTGCATACAATATGTAAATTTCTCTGGATCTGGGACATTGCCTTGGGGATAATCGAAGTATTATTATTATTATTATTTAGTGTTCTGTCTGACGACAGGTCCATATGAACAGGATCCTTCCATCCTTTTCTCGGACTGGGACCTGTTCATATACGTTCTTGGCAGATGATCCAGAAGTGATTTGCCATTGCCTTCTTCTGTGTGTGAATGGAGTAATTGTTGGGATGCCACGGAGAAACCGGGGAAGCCCCCGGAGGAAAACTCCGTGTTGTCTAGACCACGGCCTTGCCCAACACAAGTTATAAATTCGGGCATCGCCGGGAATCGAACCCGAGAAGTATAATACACATAAATATTAGCCGTTCTTAGTGATATGCACACTGTGCATTAAGCCCGTAGGAGACTTGACTGGCATTAAAAAAATGACAAATTATGTCAACCACACCAGCCCAGTTCGATACATGCACATGTCACTGCACATTTTATTGTCAGCTGTAAATTTAAACTTGTCTCTTACGAAACTTACTTTCAAAGGAACGAATTCGTGTCAAAACTCCATACCTCTGTGTCCGTAAGTAGTCTACATTCTGTGGCGTCAGGTTCAGTTTGCATGTATACATGCTACTAACACGATTACCGACCGTAAGATATTTCCAATATGTTTGTAGACTGCTTTTGCGTTAACTGTCTCGCAGATCTGTACACTTTCGTGACATGAAGGACATAAAATAGACTTGTGACGGTCAAGTCGTGTCTGCTAGTCCTGTGTTTTACCCCGGATAAATTTGTATTAAATTCAGTATTTTCAGTCTGTATCATAATTTGTCGGGTTTGTTCGACGTACGCCCTGAAGATGGACATAGGATGTTTCTCCGAAACGTTGGTATTACCTATGAGTCTACGTGGAATTACGCCTCAGAACAAGAACCTGGTCATCATCACGGTTGCTGAGAATCTCGAATTGACTTTGGTTGGTGTCTGTTAAATATTGCAAAATCCCTATTCTGTACTAAGTTTGGTGGATGAGCCCTTAATTTGACGCGAAGATACCCATATTTTATGGAACCTGAAGGTTTAGTTTCATGTGAAGTGTACGTACTATATGTAGATTAATAAATTCTTGTAATATTACGTTAATTTTCGAAGAATATTTCTATTTGGAAGGAATTACAAATATTTCATGGCATTCAATGACACCTACAGGGCGTAGAGAACAGCTTTAGCATGTGATGTGTGAGGAAACAAAACACATATAAGGAAAAGTCATCGTCAAACTTACATACTGGCTTCCTTTCACTTTTAACTTCTTACATTGTGTAATTAAATTCCGTTTAAGTACACTATTTCTTTATTTGGTTAAAGGAGACTTCAGTCAATAATTTACCGACGATGATCGTACCGGCTTCATCCCGAGGCCCAACTGAAGTTTCTCATTTGTCTTTCTCGGACAGTTTCCTGCGAGATGTCCGCTTATGCGGTTGACGTAGGATGAGTGGAGTGTTTTGCCATTCTTTTTATTTGGGTACTATATAGGTATTAGTTATTGGCTTCACGCTTAGTCCGTTTTATCCCCGGGGAAAGACATCCGGGTGTCTATGGTATAGGAGTCTGGGAGCGTTGCAGAGGGAGTATGGATTCTGCACCCAAGTTAAAAATCTTTAACCTCTGCCCGAGATCGAATCTTGATCCTGTAGTCTATAGCATAGTTAATGTATTCGCTCAGTTATCCAGCTCACGATGAAGAATACATTTTTCGCAGAAGAAATCTCTAATATTATTTTTGTTCTTGATTTTATTTAATCGATTTTCAGGATCATTAGCGAAGTACTTACTAGAGTTAAGGTTTTTTTGGCGTTTATATCTCCAAGTGACTGTCGGGATGATAATCCAACTTCAGATAGGCCACTATCTTATCTAACCATCAGTCACTATAATTTTCTTATTTTCTACAAAGCTATGTAACGTCTGCAGTGAAGCAGCGTTTTTATATAACCGAAGACTCGGCGATTAATACCTTGACACATTTAGAATTATATAACATTCATTTTGCAATAAAAATTAAATTTCTGAATGGAAAATTACAGCACGAAGTATAGAATTATAAGGTGTGTTTACAGAAGACAAGAATCTTTATGCTAACTGCATGGAGGACGTTTTTGAGGGGCACTTGATGCTTCGTGAGAGAGAGAGGGGGGTCTTGTGACAACATTCGTCAATGATTTTCTATTTCTATATTCGCTCTTCTGGACTTTTCAAGGTGATCTGGCATGACGAGTATAAGCACGTAAGCCTACGTAAACAGAGGAAATGTAAATATAAAGTTTCCCCATAGTTTAAAACGGCATGAATATTTCTCTGAGAACTTTGTTTTTAAACATTTGTAACTTAACTTTCCTTTCTTAGTTTAACAGATCACGTTTAACCCCTATGAAGCACAAATTACATCGCGCAAAATTATCGATATGAAGTATCGATAATTTTACACCGGAATTGATTTGTCCCTGTGGTCGATACATATCTTCTGCAAACCTACAGAGAAAGTCAAGTCGTATACATTCCATGTTTCGTACATAAATCTTATCAAATTAATGTCGTTAAGACCCCTTGTACTCGAAAATCGAATCAACAGATAATAATTATATTTTCTAAACTGCGACCCATCCGACAAACATTTTTCTCTATAATCCAAAGGACAATCAAATTGGTGTTACCAACGTAAAATTCTCCCTTAACCTCAATAAAATTACTTTTAACAGAACAAAAGCTTTTTTGATAGATCGTTATATCAGCTGTCTGATTTTACTCAGTTTCTTCCTACGAATTCAATGATATTTAAGTGTCATCATATAGATCTCTGTCGGTATGAAAGTTCTACTGTTAATTTTTGGTATATATATATATATATATATATATAGCCTGGCAATGCGTCTTATTTGAAAGTTTTGATAAAAGAATGTGACAAATTATTAACCATTGTTGTCGGTAATGGAGCTCAAGGAAAGTAAGTACTATAAAGCAGCAGACGTGCCTTGGTTATAACAACAACCTTCTGTGGACAATAGCTTTTGTCTCATGACCTCCGAGACCCATCTTCAAGTGACTTTGATGAACTTTCTTAAAAGTAAAAGTGAGATCACTGTAGCCATTATTGAATATATTTGCATGTCTTCCATAGAGAACGAGAGTCTTAAATGTCCTACGGCATCAGTAACTAAGCAGTTCACACCTTAATATTATAAAACAATGATTTCACTTCTGTCACCTTTTACTTTGCAACCGAAAGGTCATTGTTGTTGGTTACGTATCCTCTGGGATCTTTTAACTTAATTAACTCCATATAGCAGAATACTTCTTCAGAATCTGATAGTCACACAGCTAGTCAAGAAATTCCTCGCCTTTCGATCGTCAGGTTTCTGTTTAATGTCACCGTATCAGTTATATTTTGGGTTTGATACTGCTGCATGCAATAGTGGTGTTAATGTCCCTGAATCTTTTTCCCCTGATTTTCTTCGTAACTGTTATTCTTAAAATGGTCCATCACCAGGTCGTTGTCATATCTTGGCGTATTAATTTTGTTGCCCCCGTGAGCCACTACGCGTTAAAACATTATCAAACAAACGAAACACGAAAATACCGCCAACTCAGTAATTGTGATGCGTGTAGCACGCATGAGGGACGTTAGAGATGCATACAAAATTTAGATGGAAACGTTTAAAATAAGATGGTACTTGGAAGATGGAGACGTAGGTTGAAGGATCATACTAAAATTGGTGTTAAATAAATAGGGTGGACTCATGTGGTTCAGGATAGAGTCCGTTGTCAGTGCAATGAACACTGCAACGGCCAATTAAGCAACTCTCAGCTACTTAAGGAGAACTGCTCGATGTAGTTCCGTAACAAACACTTGAAAAGGATTTAGCTTGAACAAAAGGTCCTTGACATGTTTAGGTGCTAATAGCCGTTGAGGTTGAACTGCCTTTAAACCAACTTTTGCAATACGTCAATTTCCATAAGCAAATTTCAAGTTAGTCTGAGGGCAGAAACAAAATTTAGCAACTCCTCTGTTGTCTTGAGTAATAAATATTTGCCTTGTAAACAGGATGATGTACTTCCTATTTTCATGTTGTTAGTTTAATTTTCGTTGAGGCGACTCAACTTTCACATCCACGGACATAACAAGTAATCAAACAGGCTTTACGGGCGTTCACTTTGCATATATTATTGCAATGGAAGTGAATATGTCACCCTGCATTGTCAACTACAAGTAAGGTATTGTAAAGAAAGTTTCCCTGACCAGCCTATGTGCTTTCTCCACGTCGAACCGCCTTGCCCTTAGGAACCTGCGGAGGAACGCGTCATCTGTCCTCCGTGGCACCACGTCGCCTCGTTCTGCAAGCACAAGGATAAGACACGTTGTCATAGCAACAACAACAGGGGATTGCGTGTTTCGAAAGTACGTTCTTTACCTTTTTGTGTGACTCACTGGCTCTGAAAATAATTTCTTGCTGATGAAAACCTTGCAACGTGCCAATTAATACTTGCTCCGCGTATAATTAAGGCGAAAATAATAGTTTCACTTATTTCAGTCATGGATATCACTGTTAATGACTGAAAATTATTACCTGATGTCAGAAATTCGCTTCGTAAAGTCGCTACTATATTTGTCAGTGGTTATTATTATTTATTATTAACTGCAAATGGGTTTTACCCGGTGGCAGTGGTACTACAATAAGACACAACAAAACAATGAGACAGAACAAAAAATAAGACACAACCAAACAATAAGACACAACAAAACAACACACATCACACAAAATAACACATCACACTCAAAATAAAACAACTCATACGATTACAAAACCATAAGGCACAAGTATTTAAACACAACAGATAACCTAAAGTAGATAACTTAAAAATTAATACCAACTAAACATAAGACAGTAACAGTAATAAATGCAGCTATGGCTTGATGAGATTTCAGGTTAGCACGGCGGCTAGTATGAAAATTACTCTTTTGTGGGATGTTGCGCCGTGCTGTCTCGTAGAAAGTGACCGATTTTTTTTTTAGGGGTGCTAACTGTCTGTATGATCAGAGTCTTCTTCATACGTCCCTGAATCACAAATAATGGTTCATTTGTTAGACTACAAATGGACTTGTTTTTCAGTACGTATAACATCCGCAATCTTACGAAATCATATCCTGATTTTTCTTGCAACCCAAAATTGGAGGCGGTAGAGATGATTTTGATGAATAGCAGTGATGCATGTATGCATCCCTTCGAGTTTAAAGCCGTCGCTGATATCACCTGCATTTTAAAACTGTATTCACGCGCCATACTTCAGTTGTTCAGCTGATTTATTTTATATTTCTTTTCTTATAATAATTTATTATTTTCGTATTGAATTATTCAGGATCTTAAGTATCCGCCCACTCACTGCTATATTAAGTCCCATTACATGCGCAGTCAGTTTAATACGCCCCAGAAAAATGTATGTAAGTTGCAGTGTCAGTTTGTCAGCCCTAACGAGGCTCAAAAATGAAGATGAGAATTTCTGTTTCGCTGAAAGTTTTACCTCCACTGTATCACTGTGGCGCCGAAGAGCAACATTGTGCTCTAAACCATGGTTTCACTACAGGCAAAAAGCATGCTCTACATATTCTGCAGCTCTTCGTTTGAACACGTAGTAGTACTAACCGTAAATCATATTCCTAAGTTCCTGCACGATACCCTGCCAGGTGTCTGGTGATTCACCGAGATGTAGTCTTGCAAATTCCTTGACTTCACTGGGTGGTTCGCCTAGGTCAAGTTCTGAAGCTACGTCTTCAAAATTTTCTAACTCGTCCGGCTGTGAAATCGTTTCTTGGACATCGTCTTCGTCATCATCATCGTAACCACCAAAAAACATTCTAGAAATTGAGACAGAGGTTAATGCACACTTTGTATCAAATGATACTTGCTGTCTCCATCATCAGGGCGATGATGGATGCAGCAGGAGGCTGAAATCTTACGTAATAACATTTAAATAATTTTAATATATCCGAAAATGTACCGATATTGATTTATTTAAAGGCATATATAAAATGTATATAAATATTCCTTTAAATAAATTGATGTATAAAGTATTCTGAAGGAACCTTGTAGAATTAAAAACCAGATTAAACGTCGCTGCAACCCAAAGACATTATTCCAAGGAGTTACCTCTTTTAAGCACGAAGTTAATCTAAATAATATTTAAAACACAGATCGTACTTGAAAGGAAAAACAACGCCTTTACATTACTGAAAGTTCAATTGTTTGATGTTGAATAGTGAAATGATCGTTGTTTGTAGACACAATAATAAGCTCTGTCGACAAATCGTGTAACTATTGGGCACTACATGTAGGTGGTATATGAAAGTTAAAGTGTGTTGTCAAGAGTTAGTTGACTTTGTATGCAGCTTGTTAAGTCATCTTTAGTGTTTGCACAATCATATTTAAATTTTCGAAGGGACGTTTGAACGATTTATTTCCAACATATTACTGCTCGGAAAGGTTGTTGGAACTAGCCAGTCTCGAATACAACTGGAATTGTTAACACAGTTACAAAGAGAGAAAGTCCATTACTGCTTGAAGAAAGAAAATAAGGCGTACAGAAATAAGCAAAGCACGTCGAGAAAGGGAACCACAGGCTGCGTAGTTCAAGACACTTTCATTGAAATACGTAGTGTGATAAGACATTGAACATCATTGGATCATCGTTACGTGTCTCTTGAATGACAGTTAGCAGTCATGAATCAATGTGTTTACCTCTAAATTCTTATTAGACGGGAATATGTAAAGTAAAGCTGTCCCACTATGCGCCATGTAGGCGCTTGGGGGGAGGGGAATGTGTTCATGAAAAAGTAACTTTGGTTTCTTGTTCTGCTTAAAATAGATTACAAATACGTAACCATTTTCTTTACGATGTGGGCTGAAGATGGAGATGGTATATTCTCCCGAAACCACGAAGCGTTACAACTCAGAAGAAAAAAAGACTAGGAATATTGTATTATAGGTCCTGACGCCATGTTAGTAGGTCGCGTCGATGGCCAGTCCATAACGTTCAGTGGGTTAATGAGGGAAAAGAACTGGTATAGCAGGTTATCATTTCGCAGTCACACCAACACTGAAATATATATATAACTTGGTAATGAAACTGTGTGGATTGTAACGGAGAGCATTTCGTCCGAATGAGTAAACCACCAGATGGAAGCAACTGTTAAATCTAACGTGTGAACAAAATAGATAAATCTTAATTTGTTTTTCACTAAGGATAAAGACGGGTTTTTGGAAAAGTAAGTACATTTTTTCCTCCTGTCTTTTGGGTATTCAAGATAATTAAACAAAAATTATCTGTGCAGTGTCATCTCATAATTCGAAAACTGTTGAACTGTCTTTGATCACACCTCATAGGTTGTCACAAAAATATTTATACACATAATATCTTGTATACATACATATTTTTTGGAACATCCTGTATCTGAGGTTTCTGCCCATGCGCCTAGCTTGATTAACGCTGTT